GCCTCCTCAGCAGCACTAAGGATGTCTGACTGCAGCTTAGGCCTGCTCCCTGCTGGTAGGTGGACATCCCCCAAGGGCTTGCCGGGCTGCCAGAGGGATGTATGACTGCCAGCTTGGACCTGATCCCCCAGGGAGCGGGCCTAAGCTAGCAGGAGGACATCCTCCGAGGAGTCCCAGACTGCAAGAGGGCTGAGGGACCCCCCCGAGTGCACAAATTTTTGTGCACTGGGCCTCTAGTATCTAATAAGGGCCTAACCTCCAAAATGTAAGGGAACTCATAAAGAGAAAATGAACAAATGGGACTACATCAAAATAAAAAGTTTCTGCACAGCAAAAGAAACCATCAACAAAACAACAAGAAAGCCCACTACATGGGAGAACATATTTGCCAACATTATATCTGATAAGGGCCTAATCTCCAACATTTATAGGGAACTCATACAACTTAACAAAAGGAAGATAAACAATCCAATCAAAAAATGGGCAAAGGATCTAAATAGACACCTTTCAAAAGAGGACATTCAGAAAGCCAAGAGACATATGAAAACATGCTCAAAGTCACTAATCATCCGAGAGATGCAAATCAAAACAACAATGAGGTACCATCTCACACTTGTCAGACTGGCTATCATCAACAAATCAACAAATGACAAGTGATGGCGAGGATGCGGAGAAAAAGGAACCCTCGTGCACTGCTGGTGGGAATGCAGACTGGTGCAGCCAGTGTGGAAAACAGTATGAAGTTTCCTCAAAAAATTAAAAATGAAACTCCAGTTTGACCCAGTAATCCTACTTCTAGGAATATATTCCAAGAAACTAGGAACACCAGTCAGAAAGGACATATACATCCCTATGTTCATAGCAGCACAATTTACAATAGCTAAAATTTGGAAACAGCCTAATTGCCCATCAGCAGACGAGTGGATTAAAAAACAGTGGTACATCTACACAATGGAATATTACACTGCTGTATAAAAGAACTCTTATCATTTGCAACAGCATAGATGGACATGGAGAGCATTATGCTAAGTGAAATAAGTCAGTTAGAGAAAGATAAATATCACATGATCTCACTCATTTGTGGAATATAATGAACAACATAAACTGATGAACAAAAATAGAGACAGAGAAGCATCAAACAGACTGTCAAACTTCAGAGGGAAGGCAGGGGAGGGTATGTGTGGAGGGGTAAGAGATCAACCAAAGGACTTGTATGCATGCATATAAGCACAACCAATGGACACAGACAGTAGGGAAGTGAGAGAATGTGCTGGGGGGAGGGGTGGCTGGGGAGAGGTCAATGGGGGAAAAAGGAGACATATGTAATACTATATGTAATCCTTTAAACAGTAAAGAATTTTAAAAAAAAGAAATGAAATTTTTCTTTGGAATTTCTCCATCTAATTTTCTATATGTCTTATTACATTCTAGAATCCTTAAAAATAAATAAATAAATAAATAAATAAAAAGAATCCCAGAGCACTCTCTCCTCTATTCTTGAGATACCTGGATATCCTTATGTAGCTCAAAGTCCCTTGTGATATCGGAGACAAACACTTGCTCTCTCTCCTAAAGAAGATTGTGCTATATACATTTGGCTTCTGCTTCCTTACCCTTCAATTAAAACTCCCATAATTTTGATGAGGCCAATCTCAGAGTAAAAAAAAGTTTATCATTTGCCTAAATAAATCTATGCTAAAGTATAAATTACCAATGACTTTAACCCACTAGTGATTTACAGTATATAGGTTTATTTCTTTTTATACATTTGTTTTTCTAAACACACCTATATGGAGATGAAGACAAAAAGGGGGGGGGGGAATGAATTTTTTAAAAAGTCATGTTGGAAAGGCTATAAGAAAAAACACTTCCAGAGGATATTTTTCAGGAACATATTTCTTACACTTATATTTTCTAACTAGGGACTGAAGAGAGAAATTTGAGGTTGTAAAAAAGAGCTATAGAATTCAAAATAACAAAGGAGTTGCTATTCGGTTCTTTAAAAATATTTTTCGTTTCCTTTTTTTCTATTTTTCTACTAGTCTTACTTAGTTGCTGATGGTTAATATTTATGGAGGCTTCAGTGCATGATAATCACATCCCCTCATCTTTTACATCTCCCTACTTGCAGCTCTGCTTTTCATCAGTGATACAATTCTAGCTTGGGTAAAGAAGTAATGTTGAAAGGGTTAAGATCCTAGAATACTCTAATTAAACAGAGGAAGGGGAAAAGGGAGAGAAAAAGAACACCCACATCATTACCCTGATTTATTCAGAACAGATGAAAACACATCTACAAGAAAATAGTTTTCCCAATTTCTCTCCATAACTAACTCATTCTACCACATTATACTCTTTATTATGTTATGATTCAAAATAACCTTATTCATTTCCTGCTTCCAATATGTTTTTGTGTGTGTCTTTGATTCAAAATAACCTTATTCATTTCCTGCTTCCAATAATATGTTTTTGTGTGTGTCTGCAGTGTGTATGGAGAGCAGCTTATAATATTCATAAAGAGGAGATGTTATATTTAATACTATAGTGTTAGTCTATCCATATGAAATTACCTGCTTTTTAAAAACTGCCATTGCTTCTTTGTGTTGCTTTGTTAATGTTTCCTTTTGATTCTGAAGAGTTTCCTATTTTAAAAAATGATAAAAAGTTAAGACATAAATTCTAGCAACTCTTTCAGTTTAAACTTTAATTGGCTTCACTATGTAAATAAAAGTTAAGTATATTTGTTGCATATATAATTTCATGCTCTTGAAATGCAATTTTAAACCAATTTTATGATTTTTTTACTGTTGTGGAATCACCAAACAATTATTTTGCTTCCAGCTGCTTCTTTATGATAAAACTAGAGACCCAGTGCATGAATTCGTGCACGAGTGAAGTCCCAAGGCCTGGCCAGCGATCGGGGCCAATCAGGGCTGGCTGGCCATGGGAGGTTGGCTGTGGGAGCGCACCAACCACCAGTGGGAAGCTCCTGCATTGAGCATCTGCCCCCTGGTGATCAGTGTGTGTCATAGCAACTGGTCACAAGGGTCATTAGGCTTTTATAAATCTACTAGAGGCCTGTTGCACAAAGAGATTCGTGCAATAGGCCTTCCTTCCCCTGGCTGCCGGCACCGGTTTTCCTCCAGCACCTGGGACCCAGGCCTTCGCTCCGGCTGCAGCGGAGAAGCCAAACCTCTTCAGTCTTTAGTCATCTTCAGTCTTCAGTCTTCATTCGGGCCGGAGCCTTCAGTCTTCGCTCCACGCCTACATATGCAAATTAACCGCCATCTTTGTTGGGTTAATTTGCATACTCATCCTGATTGGCTGGCGGGTGTAGCAGAGTGATGCCAATTTGCATGTTTCCCTTTTATTAATGTAGATAGATACATTGCTTTATTAAAATTTAAACTCTAAACATAGCTTGCTGCAAAGCTTTCTTCAAGAAAATATCTTTCATCAAAAGTTATTAACATTCCTTGTACACAAGCAGACTGTAGTCTTAGAATTTCCAAATAAACCAATTTTATGATCTAGGCACAAATGTTCATATAGCAACATATGATTCTTTAAATACAATGAAATACTACTAAGTTTTTACAAAACCATAGCTATCACAGGGCATTTAAAATTTTTTATTTTATTTTTCAGTTAGTTTACATTCAGTACTATTTTGTGTTACTTTCAGCTGTACAGCTTAGTGATTAGACAATCATATATTTTACAAAGTGTTCCCCCTGCTATTTCCAGTACCCATTTGACACTGTACATAGTTATTACAATATTATTAACAATATTCCTTATGTTGTACTTTACATCCCTGTGACTATTTTGTAACTACCATTTTGTATTTTTTAACCCTTTTGCGTTTTTCTCCTAGCCCCCCAACTCCCCTCCCCTCTGGCTACCATTAGTTTGTTCTCTGTCTCTATGAGTCTGTTTCAATTTTGTTTGTTTATTCCGTTTTTTTTTTTTTAGTTTTATTCATTTCAAACGGGCCAGATTCGGCCCGCGGGCCGTAGTTTGCCCACGGCTGCTCTAGATCCATCCATGCTGTCACAAATATTAAGATTTTATCCTTTTCATGCCTAAATAACATTCCATTGTATATATGTACCACCACTTTTTTATCCACTCATCTATTGATGGGCACTTGGGCTGCTTCCACAATCTGGCAATTATAAATAATGCTGCAATGAACATGAGGGTGCATGTATTCTTTCAACTTAGTGTTTTTGGTTTCTTTGGATACATACTCAGGAGTGAAACCACTGGATCATAAGGCAATTCCACATTTAATGTTTTGAGGAGCCTCCATACTGCTTACCACAGTGGCTGCACCAACCTGCATTCCCAACAACAGTGCATGAGGGTTTCCTTTTCTCCACATCCTCACCAACACTTGTTTGTTGATTTACTGAGGATAGCCATTCTGACAGTTGTGAGGTGATACCTCATTGTGGTTTTAGTTTGCATTTTTCTGATGATTAGTAACATTGAGCATCTTTTCATATGTATCTTGGCCAACTGTTTGCCCACTTTGAAGAAGTGTCCATTTGGGTCCTTTACCCATTTTTTAAATGGATTGTTTGTTTTTATGGTGTCAAGTTGTATAAGTTCTTTATATATTTTGGATATTAACCCCTCATCTACTGTACTATGGCAAATATCTTCTCCCATTCAGTAGGTTGTCTTTTCATTGTTGATGGTTTCCTTTGCTATGCAAAAACTTTTAGTCTGATACAGTCCCATTTGTTTATTTTTTCTTTTGTTTCCCTTACCCAAGGAGATATAGCAGAAAGTATTGCTAAGAGAAATATCAGAGATTTTACTCTACCACAGGGCATTTTTGAAAAAAATCCACATACATGATTCCATTTCTTTTTTCCCTTCCCTCCCCACCCTTTTTGGTAGAAGTTCTATGTTCTGTCCTTCAGATTCAAGATAACATTATATTTTTTCTTCTATTTTTATCAAATAATCCTCTTAATTTAACACTATTAGGCCTAAAAGTAGCAACCACTTTCAAATATTTCTGTTATTTGACTCCATGTCTCTTAATATATGTTGATTAAACAATGTAAAAGTTTATCTATTGATCTCCTATTATGATAGTTTAGATTTCTTGTACAGTCATTAACCTACATCTCCTCCCTCTATTCTTCCAACAGTTATATAAAAATTGTGGCTTAAGTTAATAGTATTTTTACACTCTATGTAATTTTTATTCAATGCAGAGTCATATAAGCATATCACAATTACATTTCTACTCTCACACAACTTTTATTTCTTCAGAAGTTAGCAATTACTTTAAAATATTTTAATTCTCATAGCTAATTTATAATAATTATCCTTTGCCGCTTGAATTCTGATTCTTTTATGTTACCTCCTGTTCCTATTTCAATACTGCCAAATAGTGAGAAGGGCCATCATAATTAATCTTTCATTATTTAGTGGTTAAGATTACGTTGGTGGAAGGCACAAGAAGCATTATAAAAATGCTTTTAATATAGATAAGGCTAGAGAGAAAATCAGATCTAATATTCTTTTTATAAAAAAAAAATGTGGTTACAGTATATAACAACAACCTAGGAACACATGTACAGTTCTGAGGTTTCACTTCTTAAGAAAATATTTTGACTCCTCTAAAACATACAATATATTTCTCAGATGTGAAATAGTTCAGTTTTCAGCATTATACTCACTATTATTCTTAGTTATTTTATCAGAAAGCCTGAATAAAAATTATTCTCAATTTTTTGGAAGCCCAAATGTTAACAGTTTTAGTGGGAACTTTAATATGCTGAATATGTTTAGAAAATTTAAAAATTAACTTTGCAATCAAAGATTAGAATACATTTAAAAACAATTGCTAAGAATGCTAATCTGAGAAAAAAATATACTCACATTTTGCCATTTAAGTTCTTGTGTCTCCACAATAATTTTACCAATCTGCTCTTCATATTGAATTTCTGCTTCCTACATCAAAAAGAAGAAGAAAGATGTTAGGGAAATTAAGACCTTAAATCTTCCAGTTTTAGCTCTTTCTATAGAGATAAAAAGAGCATGTTCTAACCCTTACAACAAGAAAAAAACTGAACAAATTGCAAATTTGCTTACCTGAGACATAAACTACTGAGTACTGATAAGAAACCTCAGTTAAAAGATCTTAATAAATTGCTAAAGACAGAATGTGGGCTAGTGTAAGATTGTGAATCCCCTGAGGGGCCCCAAAGTAAGGAAGTTTATACCTTCTACCAGGCTTTTTTTATTTTTATTTTTTTCTAGGAAGCCCACTAGATACTTACAGGGAAGGATTGGGAAAATCCTGAGAACGCTTTCTCTGGTGGTACTGGCTGGGAAAAAGAGCAATTATAAGTCACCTTCTCTATTTCCCCTCCAGACCAAAAACCTTAATCTGTTGGGGAAAGAACAAAAAACAAAACAAAACAAACCCACAAAACAACAACAGCACTAAAGCTAAGGACACTAGTGGAACTGACCCAGGGGAAGGGAACTAACAGCCACAACTGAAAACTCTACCTTCCTTATCTCCCCTAAGGAACAAAAGTCTAATCTACAGAGGGAAGGGCAATAAAAACTGCAGCACGAGAGCACCCATGGAAACCCACTGCAGGTAGGAGAGAAGAAGGCTAGGAAAATAAAACAGCTCTAGGAGGAGCAGGAATACAGGCTACATTCAGCATTAAATATGAGGGAGGGATCAAAACTCTTGTGAAGACCCCACCCTGATAATCAGCCTTAATAAGAACATCAGAGAAGGCCCTGTTCTCCCACCTACTATAACCACCCCCACTAACAAGAAGAGGAGCTGCAAAGACAGACTCTCTGGGAAGCAGCACAAAGGAAAGGAAAAGGCCCAAAGCCAGACAGGAAGCAGTTATGTAGAAACCCCCTTTGATTCTGTTTAAAATAATGTAATACTCCAGAATTAGTCCACACCATAACACAAGGTATCACTGGAGAAATCTAAAGCTTCTGTTGAAAACTTCAACAGGCAGACTTGAAAACTGCCTGGTTGAGTACTGAAGGTGTGCCACACACACGCAGGGAGCCCTTCTGCAAAGACTGGGAGATGTGTGCTTTTTCCCTTTGGCCCCATGTATTTAGGGAAATCTCTGTCAAGCAAAGCTGATAAGCTAAAAAAGCACAATGATGACTTCAATAGCCATATATTACAAAAACTGCAGCCTTTACAAAATTATTTCAGAAATGTCAAAAACAAATAATGACAAGCAGCAATCTTGGTGAGAAAGAGAAAACTGATTTCTAGGGTTGCCACGTATTCAAAAGGGTCATGTCTAGTTTTAAACAAAATATTACAAGGCATGGAAAAAAAACAACAACAGGAAAGTGTGATCCATACACAGGAAAGAAATGAAGAGGAACTGTCCTTGAGCAATTACAGATGATGAACTTACTAGACAAAGACTTTAAATGAACAATGTTAACTATGCTCAAGAGCTAAAAGAAACCATATACAAAGATACTGCAGCCATTAAAAAGTTCATAAGAATGCTAGTTCATAAGGTCATGCTCTTAAATTTGACAAGTTACAGAAATACACCAATTCTTCAAAAACCATAAAACTACCAAACCTCAACCAAGGTGATATAGACAATCTAAATAACTCTACAACCATTAAGTTAATAGCTCCTAAATAAAGAAGTTTCCAGGCCAGATGGTTTCAGTGAAGAACTCTACCAAATATTTCAAGACTAGAGGCATGATGCATGAAATTCGTGCAAGAGTGGGCCTTCCTTCCCCTGGCTTCCGGCACAGGCTTCCCTCTGGCACCCGGAACTGGGCTTCCCTCACAGCCCCAGCTTCATCTGGAAGGTTGCCCGGAAGCTCATCTGGTCTAATTAGCGTATTATGCTTTTATTATTATAGATAAATTAACACTACGTTCACACAGACTCTTCCAGAAAAATACAACAGGAACACACTGCAACTCATTTTATAAGACCTGTTTACTGTGACACCAAAACCAAACATAGATAATACAAAAAAATTAAACTAAAACCAGTATCTCTGAGAAGTTTTGACAAAAAGAAATTCTCAATACCATATTAGCAAATGAAATCCAACAATGTCTAAAAAATTATACACCATGATCAAGTAGAATGTTTTTAAAATTATTTTTATTAATTTCAGAGAAAGGAAAGGAGAGGAAGAGAGGGATAGAGACATCAATGATGAGAATCACTGGTCAGCACTTTTTGATTAATTTAATCTTAGGTTTAATTTTATGAGGTGAGTATTCTTATCATCACCATTTTATAGATGAAGAAACTGGGTTAGCAAGAGGATAAGTAACTTGCCTAAAGTCACATACTAGGTAAACCTAGATGATCTATCTCCAGAGTCTCCTTAACACGCATTATATTACCTTTAAAAGACCGTGGGTTCTGTAGAACAATATGGATTATGATATATGTATCACATATATTTCCTTCAAAAACTTCAGAATTTAATCTTCATATTCCACAAAAGTTAGAAAACCACCCTAAATAATATTAACTATTTTAAACATGTAAATATATTCTGATTGTTTGTTAGAACATGTCAAAAAAACTAGAAATATTTGTTGAATGAAAAACAGAATTTTAAGAATTGCTGTATATGTTTTAATATTAATATTTTTCTATTTTAGAAATCACTGTAATAGATTAAGTTGGCTAATATGAAAACAGTAGTTTAAATACTACTTAGGAAAGAGGTTTTTAAAAATATGAACTTTTAGGTTCTCCCCTATATATCAGATTTTTGAATCTAGAATACTTTGTAGCTAATCAAACCAAGAAACTATCTGAAAGAGTGATTAGTATTTTATTAGACAACATGAGAAACTGAATTGGGCAATTTTGTAGGAGGTGGATTATGAGTTTGAAAAAGAAAATAAAGTACCCGTTATAGTTTTGGCTGCTTGGACATGTGCCTGCTGTACATACTATGTCCCTAAATCTGTTCAGGGTCAAGAATTGAAGAGGTCTGACCAATACACAGCCCATCTTGTAAAACTACAGCCTGAAGCAAGCACTTTTTAAAAAGCATGACACTTTCTAAAGGTTATAAAGAGTAAATAAACCATCAAATTACTCCTCTTTTATTGTTTTTATAAAACACTTAAATCCTTGTAGTCCTAAGGCAGCTAATAAAAAATAAACACTTTTAAGGTTCGATATTCTTGGATACTTTATTGAAGTTACAGATGGGATTTTCTCACCAAATTTAATATTTTTTTATTCATTAACAATTTAATAAGAACTTTTATTAATAACTTTTGAAAGCTGCTTAAAGAATGCATGGAAAATAAAAAGTTCCAAAAAAGTAAATTTTTAATAGAAAGCATGAAGTAAATTTAAAATCCTAATATAGAAGAATATTATAATGTTACTTTCAGCAATGTGAATAACACCCATTGTATCAGCTTTCCATGTAGTATAAACACATACATTCTACAAATCATTATAATCACAGAGCTGTATGATTCCACTCATAGCATAACTAATTTTAAGGGACACTGAAGTGCTGCTTTACCACATATTGTACCATTAATTGCCCAGTTTTCTTTCACGATTTCCTTAGCAAATCATTGCTCTTCTAGATACCCAAATTTCCATTGGCTTTTATTTACTGCTAATGTAAAATTCCAAGATTTACTTCTGTTTAGATATTTAATAAATTTAAAGTGTCCTTTCTCTGAACTCCCACAATGGTTTCTTCATAATCCATAATACACACTATGTGAGAGTATAGTGATTGATTTGTATGGTATGTTTTGACTATTAAAATTTAAACTCTTTTAGAGCAAGACTGAGTAGTTTTTTCAAAGGTTATCAAATAAATGCATATTTTAAAGTTTGAAAGTTCTGTGATAGAAGTCTTTCATTCCCATTGTATAGATAATCTAGCTTAAAAATACTTAAAAATCTGGTTTATAAACTTTCAATCCACTACCAATATTTAGGATCTAATAGATTTTACATTAAACTCTTTTTAAAAAAATATATTTTTATTGATTTCAGAGAGGAAGAAGAGAGAGAG